AATGAATTCCTAATCCTGTTTTTGACAGGAATGTGGAGTCAGCTCCTAGCTGCTCTGTACTGCAGTTTTTAGGTGTATTGTGATGTTTTTATGTAAATGAAAATAAAACTGATGCACGTTTTTCTTTTGTTTTCTGCATTTAGTAAGGAATACAGAAATTCTGCTTCCGCAACATAAGTATTGAAGTCTTTCACCAAATGTAGGTTTTGGATCTGAACTTCTAAGTCCATTAATCAATATAAATTGTCTTACTGTTAGGATAATTCTGTAAGTAGACTACACAGCATGAAATGATGTAGTTCATAGAAGATTAAATTATTCTTTTCTGGACAAGTAAAGTTTATTTAAAACTAATTAAGACGACAGTACTTTGAACTATTGTTTCCAATACTACTACAGGTTTTCTCCAGTTCTCTTATTTGAAACCAAAGAAACCAGTTAAATAGAAGTAAAAGCATAAACATTCCATTTTACTTTTCAGGAATGAGTCTGCCTAGTATGTGATTTCCACCTAATTTTTTTCTGAGAAGGTTACAGAAAATTACCCATGATATTTGTACTGAGTCAGATATGTCTTAGCAGGAATAAAAATTACTACTATGACTACTTCCATACTTAATTTTTAATCCAGAGTTGTATCTATAGCATTTATATGGCATGTCTGTCTAGGATAAGTATTTTGAGACCTACTGTTACTGTGAGATTTTGTGTAGATTTTCTATTTGCTCAGAAAAATAATCTAGAAGCTTTTAAAGGAAACTTGGAGTCAGCTGCTGATCTGCTTTAGTACTATTGTTAATTTTTTACTAGGTTTTTAGTAGACTGTAGTGCACCCTGTAGATGTATTTTGTCCAAGCTTTAAAGTGATAATTTTGACTGCAGGAACTAAGTTAAAGTTTTCATTCAGGCAGGTACGTGTCTATGTGTGAGTAGGCGCGTAGGCAGAAATACTCTTTTTTTTTTTTTTTTTTTTTTTTTTTTTTAAGGGTTTTTTTTTGGGTTTTTTTTTAATTGTTTGGAA